GAGCGTTTGAGAAGCTTAAATAAGGGTAACGCCTTCTCTCCCAGCCTCGATATGAACCGACTTAGGGCGGCCATGCAACCGGTGACGCATTGCACATCCCTAAGTTTGCTGGGGGGCGCATCCGCTCTATAGCCCGTATCTTCTCAGGGTTGGCCTCAATGCCTCGGGCAGAGACCAAGAACCCTAGAAGCTTGCCCGCAGGTACACCGAACACACACTTATCGGGGTTTAGTTTTATGCGGGCGGAGCGGAGACTCTCAAAAGTTTCCGCTAGATCTGAGAGTAACATTTCCTGGTTGCGCGTCTTTACAACCAAGTCATCGACATAAGCCTCAACATTACGTCCTAATTGGTTACCCAAAGAAATTCGAGTAGTACGTTGAAAAGTAGGACCTGCATTCTTTAACCCGAAGGGCATTGTCGTATAACAATAGGTTCCTATGGGGGTAATGAACGCAGTTTTTTCCTCATCCTCCCTAGCCATGCGAATCTGATGGTAACCAGAGTATGCATCTAGAAAACACAAAAGGTCGCACCCCGCAGTGGAGTCGACAATCTGATCTATGTGAGGCAGGGGGTAAGAATCCTTAGGACATGCCTTGTTAAGGTCGGTGTAGTCGATGCACATCCGAAGCTTGCCGTTCGCCTTGGGAACGACCACCGGGTTCGCCAGCCACTCCGGATGGATGACCTCACGGATGAATCCGGCTTCCAGAAGTCGCGCCACCTCCTCGCGGATGAAGGCTTGACGTTCCAGGGCCTGCCGCCGCACTTTCTGCCGGACCGGCCTTGCGCCCGGCCGCACGGTGAGACGGTGCTCAATCACCTCCCTGGGGACCCCGGGCATATCCGCCGGTCTCCATGCGAAGACGTCAGCGTTTGCCCGCAGGAAGGAGACGAGCGCGTCTTCCTATTTGCCGTCCAGAAGACCACCGATCCGTGTGGTCTTGGACGGGCCGTCGCCCAGGGCAACCTCCTTGACCGGGACCTCGTCGCCTGTGATCATCCGTTGCCTCGGGGTGGCGGGGGCGGAAGCGCCAAGCCTCTCGTCGCCACCCTCGGGCTTGGATGCAGCGGCGAGGTGGTCCGCGCGCTGCTCCAGACAAGCGAGCGCGACTTTGAGGTCGCCATGGACAGAGATGGGGCCACCGGGGCCCGGCATCTTCATCTGTAGGTAGGCGTAGTGGACCGCCGCCATGAACTTCACCAACGCGGGCCTCCCCAGGACCGCGTTGTAGGGCAGACTGAGGTCCGCCACATCGAAGTTCACCCGCTCCGTGCGGAAGTTGGCGGATCCACCGAAGGTGACCGGTAGGTCGATGTGACCTAACGGCCACGTGTGCCCCGGCGTCACACCGATAATTGGCTGGGACGGCCGGAGCACCATCCCCGGGGCTTTGATGGCGTCAAAGGCCGCAGGGGAAAGGATGTTGAGGGCCGCTCCCCCATCAATGAGGACACGCCCCAACTTCACGTTGCAAACGGTGGGAGAAACCACCATCGTGATCTGCCCTCCCCGGGCAACGCACGGTGGGTGGTCGGTCTGGTCGAAGGTGAGGGCAACCTCCGACCACCGCGCCCGACACGTCGCCTCATGAGTAGGGGCCGTGGCCAGAAGCTCTCGCTTCATGGCCTTGAAGCTCCGGCGAGAAACGTGAGCACACGCTCCCCCATCGACGGTGGCAATGGTGGCCCCAGGCTCTTGGAAACCTAGGTCATCATCGCCGTCATCGATGTCCTCGTCGGGGGCCTTCTGCTTGGCCTCACTTCGCCGATTACCGGAAGGAACCGCCGGGGATTTGCCCTCTCGGCGCTCCTGCCTCCTCTCCTCCTCCCACTTCCTCGTCCGCTCAGCCAAACTTTTGACTGCACGGCAGTCCGCAAGGTCGTGAAGGGAAGTGTTGTGGACGGTGCACCACTTGCCGGTTGGGCGCTCCCTGTTGGGAGCGCCGGCCTCGTTCTTTTTGCCTCCCGCAGGCCTCCCCTTTCGGGTGGCCCGCGAAGCGCCCTCGACGGCGAGGACATGACCCTCGTCGTCGGTATGGGCTGACCTCTTCTTCCTCCTCCTGTCACGCCGCCCTATCTGAGCGGCGGATCCGGGGGCGGCCGAAGCTGCCACACCGGAACCGGAGGGGTTCCAGGTCCATGCCTCCTCCTTACGAGCCACTCGGTCCGCGAGCTGAAAAAGCTCCGCGGTAGTTTGGGGCTCCTTGGAGGCGATCTTTTCAAGCATGCGGTTGTGCCGCACACCCCCCCTGAACGCGTAAATCACCGCGTGCGCAGGGATGCATGGTATGGTGTTGCGGACTTGACAGAACCGCTGAATGTACAAGCGAAGTGACTCATCATCCCTTCGCTGTACTGCGTGCAAGTCCGCTTCCTCACCTGGGCGCGGATATGTGCCTTGGAAGTTCATGGTGAACTGTTGGCACAAATCCTCCCAAGAGTGGACAAACGCGGGTGGCAAGTTCATTAGCCAACCCCGCGCTTGTCCTTTCAGGGCCATGGGAAAGAAATTCGCCATGACCCTGTCGTCACCCCGGGCGGCCTCGATCCCGGTCGTGTAGACCTGGAGAAACTCGGCGGGGTTGACGCTCCCGTCATATTTTTCGGCGATGGTGGGCCGGAACCTTGGGGGCCAACGGACATTCCGAAGGCTCGCCACAAAGGCTCTACAGCCGACACCACCAACTGGGGGCACGGAGGGCTGATCCCCGCGTCCGTGGTGAGGTGACACTCCGGACGAGGAGGCGCCCTCCGTTGCGTGGGGAGCACGTCGGCCATTACGCCGGCGCTCGATACTGATGCGAGCATCCGGTTCCCCACGCAGATCTTCCCGGGTCGGAGGCGTTGACGAAGGAGTGGCGGCCGAATGGCGAACAGCGGCTGCCGCTCGCCGCGCCCTCCGTCTTGACGATGCGGAGCCGGTGGTAGCAGCACCAGAGGCCTTGGTGGCGGAGGACCGCCCACCAGCATCTAGGCGCTGCCGTGCAGTCATGACCAATTTGGCCACATCGTCCAGCCAACGTTGGGCTGGAGACTCCGGGTCATGGGCGACGGGCGGGTGACGTAGGAGCGCGCCCGCAGCTTGGAGCGCGCCCTGGGGCGTGCTGCCGTCGCCGTAGACGAGGAGGCGACGCTCCCCATCTCGCCGCCCTTCTCCACCTCCTGTGGGTGTCGAAGTCACGGATCCTTCGGCCCTCTCGAGCGCCTTCTCCCGCCTAGGACTTTGGCGTGGAGGGGGCGGTGGAGTACGAGCTCGACGGCGTGGGTTTGGCTCCCCGTCGTCACCGCTCATACTCGGGGAGAGGTCGTGCGCCTTTGCTGGCTCGGCCATTGGGCTGAACAGGAAAAGCTTGGCGCACACGAAAGAGTGCGAGAGCTCAGAAAATCCCTCGCAGAGCCCCCTACCTGGCGCGCCAGATGACGGAGCGTGGGGCTCCTCACCGGGAGACCGCGCAGGCCCCCCTTTGCCGGTTCGGCCGGGGGCCCTGGGTGAGGTTCTAAGCTCTTGGTCTGTGGAAAGTTCGCGAGAGTGAAATCACACAAGACACGGGCGATGTATACAGGTTCGGGCCGCTGAGAAGCGTAATACCCTACTCCTGTGTTTTGGGAGATCTGTGTATGAAGGAGCTACAAAGTATCAGCCAGCCTCTCCCTTGTTCTAGGTTTCTAATCTGGAAAAGTCCAATCCCCCCTCTCAGTGGGCAAGGTCCTCCTTTTATATCTTAAGGGGATACCACATGCACCATTTCTCTCTTTTTTTGTGGGGACTTACCCCCCCCCCCCTTTCCATAAATGGACGGAGATTTGTATAGTTGCCGTCCGAGTCACCTTCTGATGAGACGGCCCACAACTACCTCCACTTTCGCCGGGAGCAGGTGCGACGTGGAATCGTGGCTGTCTACTGACGACATGACCGGTATCAGACCAGTCACGTCGGTCATTCTTGTCCACCACGTGTCAGCTTAGCAATCTACATGCTCGCCCTTCTTCACACAACATCTTGCCTATAATGGTTTAGGATGAAGCCTGGCATATATCTGACCAGGACTAACGTGCCATCTCTAGGAGGTAACACGCTAGCTCCAGCTGGGGACGAGCGCCTAGAAGCCCTCGTCCTGACGGGATGGGGCGAGGCGTGCATCAGATCGCCTGTCGCCACCTAACCCACGATCTGACCGGTCTGTGACTGGTCACAGACCGGATAAACGAGTGCACTGCACTGCGTTACATGCGGCGTGACACGCTTAGCCAAACCGCAATAAATGTGGTTAGGTGAGCCCCACTGTGCTCACCTAACCCATACGCGGAGCAAAAACCCACGAGGGGTCGGGGCGCCTCGGCCCTCGGGGCCGAGGGGGGTGCGGCCCGACCCCCTCGGGGGGACTAAGAGGAGGGCGAATGCATCACCCTCGGGCCCGACGTCCCTCGGGGGTACCAGGCCACGTATGCGATTGTGTCTGCCTCAAACCTCTAGTCATGATACTCCTGATCCCATGTCACCGACAACATGCATATAGAAGTTAATATGAATGTGGATGCATATTAATATGTTAAGTCATTCATAACGTGTGTTTCATATGAATGTAGCCAATACTAGAATGATTTACATTATGAAATAGAGGGAGCTAATAATTAATTAATAATGTACTAAAGGATTGCTCTATTTTCCGTGTGTACCGTTCCGGTTATCAATACCAGCGCCTCGCCGCCTACAGAGCGTCTGGGGGAAGCCCCCCGTTTCACCCCTTTCTCCTCCTCCTCCCCCAACCCCAAATCATATCATATATCCCAGCCGGAGTTGTATTGACAATCGACACTTTTTTTTTCCAATTTTCCTTAAAAACACACACATGCATGCACTGTAACAATTATTAAAATTCTTAATAAAAGTGCACTGGCATATGTGTTTTTTTAGGAAAACATTGGCATATATGTTGACTACGGAAGAAGTTCAGATTTGAACCCTAACGCTTGAAGTCATGCACCATCTAATATGATATCACATCAGAGATGTTCACCGCATCATATTAACTTTCTGTGGACGTATCTCATAATCACTGGTGCTAGCCTCCAAACAAAGAACAGAACGCACAGCGGAGTGCAAAGGGGCCCACCGAAGATGACCAAGTAGACAAGATTGGACTTCACCAGGTCGACGGTGATGGGGACCCCAATCTTCGCGAGCACCGTGATCCCCATCCTCCTCTGCAGCACGTACGCGCAGATCAGCATCCGCACCACCTCCCTGTTCCTGAACAGCAGCGTGCCGGTGGTGAAGACGCAGACGCCCACCGCCGTGGCGCGGGACACCGGGGCCAGCACCAGGTACACCCCGAGCGCGAAGGCCACCAGCAAGCTCCTCGTCGACTTGCGCATCCACGACAGGGAGTGCTTGAAGTACCTGTGCCGGATCTTCCAGTCCACCGCCGCCGTCCCGGCGTAGATCAGGCTGAACGTGGCGAGCATGGAGCAGGTGAAGGCCACCGTCACGGCGTACATGAACGCGTCGAAGGCGTACCTCCCCGACAGCGCCGGAGAGCCCGCGACGACGACGACGTTGCCACGGCCATTGTTATTATTACCATCGCCAGCCGCGTAGCCACCGGGCGGCGAGAAAGCCGCCGCGAACGCGACAGTGGCGACGAGGACGGAGCCGACGCCCAGGATCTGCGTCGACTCCGTCATTTTCTTGGACTCGGCGATCTCGTCTAGCTTGGGTACGTACTGCTGCTGGAAGTGATCGCGCCGGATGTTGCCGCTGAGGGCTTTCGCTACCACCAGGGACCAAAGTATCCACGTTCGTGCGTTCTGCATCAACAAATTACTAAATTAGATGCAAAATCATCTCTAATTAAAGGGACTTACTATGTTTCAGTTGATTGGTTATATATGAGTTGGTTTAGAGACTAGAGATGTCTATAACAAGGGTAATTTTAATATCTCTGAGAAGGTACTAAGAGGTACCATATTTCTATGGTAAATTTAATACTTCTAGGTATTAAGTAAGGTACTAAAATTTTGATATCTCAACTGTAAAATTCCCCCTATATAACAATTAAAAAAGAAAAAAAAATATCCAAATACTCCTCTAAACTTTAGATAGAAATACTTCTACACCCTAAACTTTAAAATCAGATCTTTGCAAAACCATTCATATTACTCCCTAAGGTGGTTTTGTATAGTTATTTTTATCTAATTTTTATATAAATTGGATGAGTTTGATCACATGGCATACATATTGGACACACATGTGTGTGTATGTGTATGTATGTAGGTACAATGGTACATACGTATGTAGACAGCTCTATTAAATGGAGAGGCAAGTAACATTAGAATTTAGAAATTACCAGTCAAGCGAAAGTGATTTACCGTTTTGTAGTTAAGCCCAGCGGGAATGGTACACCTTGAGAGGTCAGCCGGAGTGAGGCCGTCGTTGTTGGCAAGATCCAAGCAAACCCTGCGATTCCGCAGCAGGTAGCAGAACACGTTGAGGACACCGCTCGCGACCGCCAGGTGCAGCGCGGTGTTGCCGTCGTCGTCCTGCGCGTTGAGGATGGGCGTCGCCAGCTGAGAGCCGTCCCGCCTCCGCCTGTCGTCGGTGGCGAATCCCACGATCTCCTCCCTCCCCCGGTCGACGGCGACGTGGAGGAAGGTCCTCCCGCGGGCGTCGCGGAGGCCGGCGCACTCCGGGCACCTGTGGAGGAGGAGGGCCACGAGCTTGAGGTTTCCCATGGACGCGGCGACGTGTATGGGGTACTCGCCGTTGCTGTCCGGCCGGCAGGCTAAGGACGGGTCGGCTTTCAGGAGAACTTGAGTCGATGTCCGGCGGCGGCGGCGGCCATTGCGCGAGCACGGCCATCGCAAGGCGAGCCGCCGGAGGAGTGAGCTCTTCTCGAGCTCGATCTCTGGTCCCTCCGCTGAGGCTGCGAAATGGAGCGCTGTGCTGCCGGATGCGTCGGCTTCGCCGGAGAGACCATCGTTCCATTGCAGCATCTTTTCTGTCATTTCTTTATAATTTACAAAGCAAAGCTTAAGATAAACCAATATACAACACGGTAGCTATCAAACTATTGCTCAGCACTGTTTTTTTTTTAAAAAAAGGCATAATTTTAAACTGTGATGTTTTAAGAATAATTTTTAAGTGTGATCTTAGCAATCGTAAAGGAGTGTTTATTCATCAGTTGATTGAATTTTCATAAACTGCCATTAGGAATGAAAACGTACGGCTCGGATACTGTGAAAGCTACCTCTACTATATTTGCTTTCATCTTTTTATTTAAAAACCGAAACGAATACTCTAAAATCCAGATATGAAAACGAAACCAATCGGAATGCATATGGTCACCAATATTTATCGGATCACCATAAAAGCTTCATATGATGGGCCTCCGAAATCAACGGAGAAATATTACTTCTTGCATATCAAAGAATGGATCAATTTTTTTAAAAAGTACTCGATTTTGCTATAGATTTGTCATGTGATTTTTTTTCTCTCAGATTTGTCGTTTTTAGGCCGTTCCATATGTGCCAAGATCCGTGCGTATATGTTGGGCTGGGAACCCGCATAGGGTTCAGTTGGGTCGCGTGTAACAGCGTCGGATGGTTAGAGTCACTATTTTATTTTTATTTTTTGCTCTGAAAAATCGACATGCATGATGCTCTCTCTCCTCTCTCATTTGAAATTAAAATAAAAATAAAATACAAAATTACAGTACTATATAACTAAAATTACATTTGTAAATTCAGTTGATATGACATGTAAGTGCACTACAATTTTGATAACAATGTTGTGTAAGTGAATATCTATTTGTTATTTTCTTTAAAATATAAGATTACAGTTCTATATAATTAAAATTACATTTGTAAATTCAGTTGATATAATATGTAAGTGCATTGTAATTTTGATAACAATGTTGTGTAAGTAAATATCTATTTGTTATTTTCTTTAAAATATAAAATTACAATACTATATAACTACAATTACATTTGTAAATTCAGTTAATATGACATGTTAGTGCATTGTAATTTTGATAAAATTGTTGTGTAAGTAAATACTCCCTCCGTCCCAAAATATAAGGAATTTTCAGTTTTTGCTTGAAACGTTTGACCACTCGTCTTATTCAAATTTCTTTTGCAAATATAAAAAACGAAAAGCTGTGCTTAAAGTATTATAGATAATAAAGTAAGTCACAAATAAAATAATTAATAAATTCAAAATTTTTTGAATAAGACGGGTGGTCAAACGTTGCCATCAAAAACTCAAAATCCCTTATATTATGGGATGGAGGGAGTATGTATTTTTTTTTTATTTTTCTTTGTAGTCCGTTGGATGTAAATCTAAGGGTAGAAAAATCTGGATGATTTTTTTAGAAATCACCCGACAAATGGATAGGCAATCCCAATAGTACTATCTCCATTCCAAATTGATTTACATTAGAGATGGCAATTTCCCCGACGGGGACCCGCCCCTACAAGGACGGGGTCGGGGCTATATTTGGCCCCACAGGTGCATCGGGGCGGGGGCCCGGAAATATGCGGGGACGGGGGCGGGTCTAGATTCCTACCCGCGGGTGACCCATGGGGACCCGGAAATATTGTACATACGCAGATGGCCCATTAAAAATGTGGCCCAAACAAGCCCATGTTGTGAAATAACTTTTCCTAGAGAAAATTGCATACGTACCATCGCATAAAACTGGCTTCGCAAAAATACCATCACTTAAATGGGCTTCGCTAAAATACCATCATCAACTGAGTACACTTCACCACTTTACCATTTTCATCATTTCTTCCATTTTAAGTTTATTTTATCATCTTTGCATCTCTTTTTGACTGAAATACCCCTAAGTCATCAACGCTGAAGCACTTACGTGCAATGATCTGATCTGCAACGGACCAAGTTTATAATTTAGCCTATAATTCTCCTCCAACATTTAGCATATAATTTGAGAAATAAAATAAAATAAATTAATCAACTCTGTCCAATCGCAATTGATTTATTCAAATATTTGAATCTGAGTTGTAGATGTAATTGATTAATTTAATTTAATTTATTTCTCGAATTAAATGCTAAATGTTGGAGGATAATTTATATGCTAAATTATAAACTTGGTCGGTACGTTGCAGATCAGATCCATTTCAAGTTGGGAGTGAAGTGCTTCAACGTTGCTGACCTAGGTGTATTTCAGTCAAAAAGAGATGCAAAGATGATAAAATGAATTTAAAATGAAAGAAATAATGAAAATGGCAAAGTGGTGAAGTGTACTCAATTGAGAATAGTATTCTAGCGAAACCCATTTGAATGATGATATTTTTGCGAAACCAGTTTTATACCATGGTACATATGCAATTTTCTCCTTTTCCTTATCTCGTCTTATCTACCCCAGCCATACATAGTCACGGAGCCACCCATCCAGATCGAGTCAATGACCTTTCAAAAGAAAATAAAAAGAAAGATAGAGTCAATTAGTAGCGACTGCATCGGCGCTACCGCAGTCGTTGCAAGCGATAGTGACTCCGCACGGCTGCTGCGCCTCGTCAGCTCCCTGCAAGGCTGCGCCTCGTCAGCCCAGGCCGGCTGCTGCACCTTCGTCTCGGCCGCGGGTCACCGGCCGCTGCACTTTCGCTGCATCTCCGGCTGCTGCAACTCCGCCGCGTGTCGCCGGCTGTTGTGCCTTCGTCGCATGTCGTCGGCTGCTTCGCCTTTGTCTTCGTCGCGCGTAGCCGGCTTCTGCACCTCCGCCAAATCTCCGCGACACTGGCCTCCTCGATAAGCCACCGCATCTTGGCTGCTACAGTTCTGGTTTGTCCTCTTTCTCTACAGCTTGCGGGGCCCCGGTCGGGGTCGGTGGCGGGGAAGCTTTTCACACGAAGATGGTACCGGGGCCAGGGACGGGGGATAAAGTCGGGGGTTAGGGGCAGGACCGTTCCTGTCCAACCCAGTCCCACCCCGCCCCATTGCCATCCCTAATCTACATATAGTTTTTTTTTTGTTATTCCTAAATGATCTATATATTTGTGTTTATTCATTAAGTCTATTTGTTATTTGTGCATTGGAATAAATAGACATTGATGTATGCATCTATGCACGCAAGTATTTATAATCCACATGCAATATCTTGATTTGCTATTGGCTAGAAAATAGCGAGAATGGTGCATGCATCGAGTTTGTTGCTAGAGTAAATATAGTATGAGAGAGATATTAGCTTTTTTTGGTCTTGGTATACCTATGAAATATGTAGATCAATTTGATAGAGGGAGTAGCAACTTGCTATAGTTTTTTCGCAATTCACTTCCTTAATTATTCACATGTATATTCTTTATTGGAAAAAAGAGGTTAAAAATAAATAAACTATATTTTCCCTTCTTTCTTATGCACAGCCTCCCCATTTTATCTTCCTAGTGTTGGTGTACCACTCTCTAGACATGGCTCAGGGAAAAGCTGGTCAATAGTTTAGAAACTCCTCAATTTTGTATTAGTATTCTTACTACGAGTAAACAAAGCTGATGCATCTTTTTGGTGTTAATCACTAATGTCGGTATCCTAAAGTTACTTACTCCCTCCGTCTTATAATTATAATATAGCAATCTAGTACTGGATGTGACACTTCATAATATAACGAATTTAAAGTACAGTAAACATGTCTGGATTCGTTATACTATGAAGTGTCTCGTCCGGTATTATGTTACAATATTATGGGACAGGGGGAGTACTTCCATGGCGATATTAAATAAGCACGCAGCTTGTTAAGTTAAGCATACCTATTTTTGTGATTAAATTAAGCATATAATCAGTTTGCTAGCTGAGAGATTGCTTTGTTTTTTTTTTTCTAAATTGAATGCTTACATCCAGTTAGATACATTAATTAGATTATAACTAATTAAATTATTGTTCTTAGTGACATTTTAAAAGATTATGAACTATTTCTTTCTATAATCTATAAATTAACTATAAAAATAGGAGAGAAACAAACTTTGCATCCAATTATTGGTTGTTTGTTGAATCAGTAATGATTATTAAAGTTATAGTCATAGTTTCAACTACAACTCACCCTGATTTGTGCTTTACATAGAAAGAAAGGGAATCCAGAGTAATTTTGTCATTTTTCAAAAAAAAAGCTAACACTACTCTTGAGTGACGTGGATGGCATAGATGAACGAAAATTCTGTTTGATGGCATATACATGAACTGCTAATTTACGATGGCATATAAGAAAACCTGTGAACTTTAGGTGGCATATGAGGAATTTTCTAAAAAAAAAAGTGTAGGAGTACGTACCTGCACCGCGTAGGACAGCAGCGTGCAGGGCAGTTTGGCCGGCCGGTCCTGCATACGAGAGCTCGTCCCCTTGCTGATGCAGAGCCTCTGCGATGTGGTCGTGGCCCAGTGAGACCGCCAGGTACAACGGCGACATCCCGTCGCCGCCGGGAAGACGGGCAAGCCGGGGATGCACCGAAATCAGATGGTCGACGAGCTGCTTGTCGCCGAGCCTGACCGCGTCGTGCAGGGCCGTCTCCCGCCGGCCGTTCTGCCTCTCCATCACTTCGGCCACCCTGCCCGCGCTGCCGGCGAGCTCCTCCTCCCTGGCCATGTCGAGGAGGCACCTGACCATCGCCGCGTTGCCCGCCCTGGCGGCGCAGTGCAGCGTCGTGTCGCCCCTCGCGTTGGGGCGGTCCAGGAGGCGCGCGGCGTGGCTGTAGATGGTGCGCGCGCAGCGCAGGGACCCTTCGCCGTCGCCGGAGGCCGCCACCACGTGTAGCGCGGAGTCTCCCTGTGGTGTCGTCGCCGCGTCCAGGAGGAGCGGCGATTGTTGCCCGGAGCCGACGTCGATGGCAACTTGCTGGTTTGGCGTCGCGGCGGCGGCGGCGGCGGCGCCCAGAAGTAGAGCCTCAAGCACCGCGCAGTCGCCGCGGCCTGCGGCTCTGAGCAGCTTGGGATCCATCATATCATCACTACCGCGCCTGATGAATCAAACTTGGGATTTAGACCCGTTTGGTATCTTGCAACTACTTACAATTAACATTTCAGATGCTTAGTCAGATGCTTGCCATCGACGTGCTGAAGCGGTTAGCACTAGTTGACTAATTAAACATGGTTATGCACAGCACTATGCACTCATGCGTGTGCAAAAAACCATGGACGTACGAACCCGCGCGCGATCACCACCTGTCTTGCATTGCATCCCGTGTGCCGAGTGCGACCGGAAACTCTTTATGCGGCACTACCTCTAATTTTAAATGTACAATGTTGCTACCGTTTTAACGTACCTAGTATGGTTTACTATTCATTATTCAAAAAAGATTATATAAATATAAGTACAAAAATGTAAAACAAACTTCAAATATCTTTTACAATTAAAATATGTCACGTCAACATCAACATAAATGGTACTTTCATGATCTTTTAATATGATAAATAATAAAATGTACGTCTAGGAGTCAAAGTTGCATAAAAAAATAAATAAAAGGAAAAACACGAATTACCCATTAGACTATCGCAGTCAACCGGATTAACCCCAAACCCGAAAACCAGACATCATTCGCCCCTAACTATATAAATCGGACAAATAACCCCTCACCCCCTCCTCCCGACGGTTAATCCGCGATGATTTTGGTTCTAAATACTATTAAAACAATCGTTGGGGTCCACTGTTAGATCTCTCCCCTCCCACCTCTCTGCACCACCAGCGCAACCACCACCACCACACGCCGCGGCTGTCGATGATGCCGCCCCGTCTCCCACCATCCCCTCCTCCTCATCCTCACCCACCACCGGAGATTACCCCACTGGAGAAGCCGACACCGCGGATGACGAGGGCCGCCCCTACATCTCTTCACGAGACGACCTTCCATGCCGAGCTGAGCTCCTCCTCAGCCTCCGGCGCCAGCGCATACATGAGGAGAGTCGTAGTCTCCGCGGTGCCAACGAGGGAGGCGAAGGTCGCTCGGGCGGCCAGCGACGGAGGCGGAGGTGCGTGGCACATTGCTTGGGCAGCTGGCGGCAGAAGAGGTCGCTCGGGCGGCCAGCGGTGGAAGCGGAGGTCGCGCGGGTGCCGATGGGGGGAGGCGGAGGTTGCTTGGGCATTGACGACGGAGATAGGGGCGCGTCGCCATCCCTGGCTTCGGCACCCCCAGTTGGCTCCGCCCTTGCCTGCCGCCATCCTCGGCTCCCCCTTCGTTGCCTAGACCCAACTGCATTCGCTCACCGTCATTCTCTGATGGAGGTGAGGGGAGGGAGAAGAGAGAGAGGGGACCGGGGAAAGGGATAGAGTAGAGAGATAGAGACGAATGAGAAACTGATAGGTGGGGCCCTCCAATTTTTTTAAAGAAATTCTGATTGGACTATCACACATATGCCACGTAGGACTAAAACCACCGCGGATTGAGCTAGGGTTATTTGTCAGGTTTGCATAGTTGGGGGGTGAAGGATGTCTGGTTTTCGAGTTAAATAGAGTAATTCATACTGTCGCGATGTTCAGGCGGGTAATTCGTACTTTTTCCAAAATGAAAAGGGTAAGTTTTACTCCCTCCATCCTAAAATAGCCGCTTAGCGCTAGTGATTTAAATTAGAAATGGTCCAAATTACCACCACATTTTTTTGTGAAAATTAAAATTATTCGCTGAATTAACACACCAAATATTTCACACCAAAACTCTTCAAAACACGAATTATACCGTTACTCAATCCGAAGCTTTTTTTTCCCACCAAAAAATATTTTTAAAATCGATTGGATATACCTGTCAGTACTTTTCCTCTCTTCCCTTCTTTCCTAGGCTCGACCTCAGCAGAAGAAAACAACGACAACATGAGATGTGGAGGTGCGACGGTGGAGACCATGGAGCTGAGCACCGACTTGGCACTAAGAGGAAGGCTAATAATATAACCGACCTGATGGCTATAAGGTTTTTTTAGTTTTCTCTTAGCCTACCCATATAATAGTTAGCTCTTTACAATTAATACATGGTCTACTTGTCTCTCTTACAGAGTTTTTTGTTATTGTGTCCAAGTCGGCTGTAAGTTTATAGCCCGCTTCTCCTCTCTCTCCTCTCTTCTCTCTTCCACCTAAGCATTTAGCCGGCTTATAGCCTGCAAGTTATCCTTGCTCTAATGTGGAGGCACAACAACATGAGATCTGCTCGCGGCTACCTCCATCTCTTCCCCTATTAAGATGGGGTAGCAGTGCTTGGGGAACGGGAGAGCCTCGAGCTCTATGTGGGTCCACCATCTCCTCGAGCTCTACGTTGGTCCGCCACTGCCTCAAGCTTTGCTTCGGCCAATGTCAATCACCTAACCAAGCTTGAGGAGACAATGGCTGGACAAGCAATGGTGTCCACCACCGCTATCAGTCGCTGAGATGAGGGACCTAGATAGAGAAAAGGGACGAGAAGAGCTCGAGTTCTACCGTCAGCGTCCTATATATTTAGTGTTCGCCTAGACCATGGTTTAGACAGTCTAGATCACGTCTAGACGCAAGACTGCAGATTTTCATCTCATTTAGGGCCTAAACTGTGCCCTAGACCATTTTCTTGTCTAGGTCGTAGGGAGCCATGGTCTAGACCATGTAACATATATAAGCGAGCTTGAGCTTCGCCACTAGTCTTTGCTTCCAGTGTCCACCCCCCCCCCCCCCCCCCTCGCGCTTCCTGAGCAAGCTCGAGCTCCAACGTTGGTCACTTGGTCACTGCCTATAGGGCCCTCTGCAAAGGGGGAGTTTGATCACCCAAAAAAGAGATATGACATGTAAGCCCTACAATTTCTTTTATTTTTTTTTTGTGCTCCAACATCCGGTTTTTAGTTTAGGTAGGTAATTTGGACTGTCGCAAAACTTTAGACGTAATTCGGACTTTTTTCTTTCAAATTTATCCTAAAATATAATGAATCCCAAAATATAGCAACTTTAGCATTTCAAATTTATCCCAAAATATAACTAACTTCTCTACCAATCATAACCCTCTCATTTAATTTCTCTACCTACTTTCACAACCAACCACAACTCTCAATCATTCAATTTCACCTACCTCCATAATACACGCATGCAACTTTCAAACTTCTTATATTTAGGAACATATGTATTGCCTTGCATGACAACTCATTGTGTGTGTTTTGAAAAGACTCTTGTTGCTTTCCACCATGCTAGTGTGAAAATCTAACTTTTGGATATGGCTATCGTACCACGATTTTGCAACAAGACAACATGAGAGAAATCCATAATAAATGCGATGGACATGCTCGGCCACCTGGCACCGCATCTGGCGGAGATGTGGGACCCCATGAAACACGTCTTCATGTTTAGGCTAGTAGGAACACCACGATAGCCCTCCCCGGGCCATCGAAAGTGTATTTAGACTCCTTGTGGAGTGGGCAAGGTGGGGTTTAAAAGTGCATCTAGTATATTAGAAAACTGCAGAATTTAGCAATAAACTTATCATAAAACTATAGGCTTTAGGCTAAGTATCGCAAAACTACATATTTAATAATAAAATAATCACAAACTACAAAATTTTTGGTCCAAATCCTTAGCACTAATGCTATGTTTGATTTATATATATAAGTTTTGTGATTAAAAGTTGATATAAAACTTATAGTTTTGTGATATTTTACCTAAATTTATAATTCCGGGATAAATTAAGTGCTACTCCTAAATAGGTAGTTTTGTAATTCATCATGTTAAATATGTAGTTTTGTGATAATTTGGCTAAAATGTATGTAGTTTTGTAAAATTTACTCATATGAATTTGAATACATATATGAAACACATGTATTCATGCATTAATCTATTCAAAATCTAAAACGTATTTGTAACAAATAGTTTATCTTTTTTTAATTGTTATAGACATCTTTAGTCTCTAGACTAACTTATATTTGGAATTAGAGGTGTAATAACCAATCAACTGAAAAATGGTAAGTCCCTTAGTCAGCTGAAACAACTCACAGGGTGAATTCCCGAGCAGAGAAGTGTACCAAGTACAGCCAGTGGGGAAAAAAGTGCCCCGGGCTCAACCCACGTGGGGCCACGCCCGGGGAATGAACTGCCTATGAGCAGCCTACTAAGGGCCATGCCCAAACAGAGAAGTGCCCCGCGAGTAGATGGTGGTGGGTACTCTGGGTCCCATTTCTCCCACATACCCCTCTACTCTTTAAGTCCCAAAATAAACAAACATAATACAAAATATGATATATTTCAGTGCTATGAATCGTAATAAACATACAATATGTTTGAGGTTTCTCTCATCCTTAGAAGTTAGAAGTATGTACATAGCTACTCGAGTTTGGAAAATAAATTGGTTGAATTGAGAGGTTAGTTTATATTAATATTTTCTGCACAGAAACTTTATACCTGAATAATCTGTAATTATCTTTTGGGATGGAGGGAGTAGTAAGTTTGTAAGCAAAACATGTTACTAGTAACTTTCGACATCAGTGTAGAAAGTTCCTACATTGAAAATTTCTATGTAGAAAGTTTCTAAACGTTGAATGTTTATGCGGATAAAGGTTCTACAATGAAAGAATAATGTTCTGAATCCGGAATCAGACATTCGCATATTCATTTCATAGTGTTATAAAACCGGCCCGAAAACATCATCAAGAATCAAATGCGCAAGAAATACTATAGGACATCTAAATACGATGACGACACCGATGCATGATATTTGATAACGGAGTTCAACCAAAGCATATATCTCTGGGACACTAATTACAGTCACTCCTCCCCCATCCAACATATTACAACGACCGGACGTCGTCGGCAACCGTTCCTTCTCGCTATGCTAATTTGTCATGCGGTTATAATAGGTGTGCCACTCTATTTAGATAGAGCCTAGGATAGAGTCCAATTCTAACTCTAACTCTAACTTATACCTATTACAATTTCAAATTCTAAACTGTAACTGACTATGAATACATATTTGACACAAACTCTAACAGGTTAAACTATTACTCTGAAGTTTTATTGAAAAGGTAATGAACCAACCTTTCCATTTACATATCTTAGGAACGAGACATCCTCATGCACTAGCTTCCCAACGAAAACCAGAAGGCATAACGGAGGACACAAGGGTGCACCAAAGATAACCACGAAGATAAGGCTGGACTGCAGTAGGACGACGGCCATTGGGACACCAATCCTCGCCAGCACCATGATCCCCATCCTCTTGTGCAGCACGTACGCGCACATCAGCATCCGCAGCACCTCCCTGTTCCTGAGGAACAGCGTGCCGGAGGCGCTCACCATGATGCCGATCGCCGTGGTGCGGGACACCGGGGCCAGCACCAGGTACACCCCGAGCGCGAAGGCCACCAGCAAGCTCCTCGTCGACTGCCGCATCCACGCCAGCGACCGCTCGAAGTACGCGCGGCGGAGCTTCCAGTCCACCGCCGCCGTGCTGGAGTACATCAGGCTAAACGTGGCGAGCATGGAGTAGGCGAAGGCTATCGCCACCGCGTACATGAACGCGTCGAAGGGGTACTGCCCCGCCAGCGCCGGCGCGCCGCCGCCGTCGCCGCCGTAGCCGCCCGGAGGGGAGAAGGCCACCGCGAACGTGACGGCGGCGACGAGGACGGCGCCGACGCCCAGCATCTGCGTCGACTCCGTCATCTTCTTTGACTCGGCGCTCTCGTCTTTCTTGGGGACGTACTCCTCCTCGAAGTGATCGTTGCGCCGGAAGTTGCTGCCGAGTGCGTTGCTTTCTACCAGAGACCAGAGGATCCAAGTTCGTGCGCTCTGCATGAACAAAATTACTACAATCAGTACAGATATTGTATATATGTTGGAGAAAAAATAATCTCAACATGAATTAATTGAACCACATCACCTAGAAAACATTAGCAGCTGGATCTTTCTTGAGTTAAATCTGAATCGTCATTCATGTCTTTAGTTACGTTACTTTCATGCGACGGCGGCCCGCGGCGCACGGGAGGCGCGCGGGCAGCAGCGGCAGTGGCCGGGCGTGCGACAGTGGCCGCGGCGGCGGCCCACTGCGCACGGGAGGGGCGGGCGTGGCGCGCGGGTTGAGCGGCAGCGGCGGCGGCAGCGGCAGCGGCAGGGCGACTCCAACTATGTGTTCGACATCAATCCCCAGCAACTCTCTCCTGGCCCCCGCGTCGGGCGACTCGGGCGGCGGAACCCTAGCCGCCGCCGCCGCCCTTCCCCGCCCCTTCCTCTGCCTTGCCGTCGCCTGAGCGAGCGGCCGGCAAAGCCGGCGGCTCGCGAGGACGGCGGCGGCGGGGCTCGCGGTGGCCATCTCCCGAGCTCCTGGCGCGGGTGGACGCAAAGGCGGTGGCCGACCGGAGCGGCGCCGGCGTCGAGGCGCATGGCGGCGGATCCGGCGTCACCACCACCGGATCTGGCGCGCTCGCAGCTGGATCCGGTCGCGGAGGCGCGGGCACGGCGTCGGCGAGGCGTGGGCGCTGGCGGCCGCGACAGGCGGTGGCAAACGCGACGGTGGCGCAGGCACGGGCGGCCGGGCGGCGGCGTCAGGCGTGACGGCGGAGCAGGCGCGGGCGGCCGCGGTAGGCTCGGAGGCGCAGCTACTGTGGCCGGCGGCTCGATGCCTGGCGGCGACGGCAGCGATGCCCCCAGATCCACGCCTCTCGGCTGGATCTGGAGGATGGGAGCAGTCGGCGACGGCGGCGACGGTGTGGCGACGGCGGCGGCGGCAATTGGCCGACGGCAGTTGGCGACGGCGGTGGCAGCTGTGGTGGCTGCTGTGTCATCTGGCAAAGGCGGCGTGTGTGTTGGCGATGTCGTCGTGTGGGTGGTGCTATTTTTTTTCTTTTCCTGGTTACGACTCTCCAGGGTTATAATCTTGTACTTTTTTTTTCCTGCTCTATCAATAGAATTTCGCACCGGTTTGTGCTAGTCGTTCAAAAAAAAATATATGTTCGACAAAATGCCTACCAAACGGGGCTAATATACCACCACCCACCCCACCCCAACACTCCTAGAATCATAATCAATTTTCTCAATTAAAAGTGTATAAAATTATTTTGGTTTACTCTTTAACACGTTAGAAACGGTGAAGTGAAAATGTTCAAAAAACTAGTCTAGATTTACCGTTTTGTAGTAAAGCCCCGCAGGAACGGTACTCCTGGAGAGGTCAACCGGAGTGAGGCCGTCGTTGTTTGCAAGATCCAGGCGAACCTCGCGATTCCGCAGCAAGCACCAGAACGATCCCAGGTCCCCGGCCACGACCGCCAGGTGCAGGGCGGTGTTGCCGTCGTCGTCCTGCGCGTTGAGGATCGACGCCGCCACCGCCCGCTTGTCGTCGGCGGCGAATCCCACGACCTCCTGCCTGCCCCGGTCGGCGGCGACGTGGAGGAAAGTCCTCCCGCGGGCGTCGCGGAGGCCGGCGCACTCCGGGCAGCAGTGCTCATCGAGGAGGAGGGCCACGAGCCTCAGGTTGCCGGCGGCGGCGGCGACGTGGATGGGGTACTCGCCGTCGCCGTCCGGGCGGAAGGGTAAGGAGGGGTCGGCCTCGAGGAGAAGCTGGGTGGGTGTCCGGCGGCCGTGGCTCGACGGCGAGCGGAGACAGCGGCGGAGGAGTGAACTACTGTCGGTCTCTGGGTTGTTCTCCGGTGAGGCTGCTGCGAAGTGGAGCGCTGTGCTGCTGGACGCGTCGGCTTCGCCGGCGAGCCCCTTGTTCCATTCCAGTATCTTTTCTGTCATTTCTTGAATTTATATTATGAGTAAATTTCACTGAACTAATAATTATATGATGAGAAAACATTATATTCATATATACTTCCTCCGTCCAAAATAAGTACAACCATAAGTTCTCATGTCCAACTTTGATCGTTCATCTTATTTAAAATTTATTTATGATTAGTATTTTTGTTATTATTAGATCATAAAACATAAATAGTAATTTATGCGTGACTTATTTTTTTAGTTCTTTTAAAAAAATTTAAATAAGACAGACGATTAAAGTTGGATACGAAAACTCATAACTACGTTTATTTTAAGAAGCAATTTTACGGTTTTTGAGAAGGTACCAAGAGATACCATTTTTTCTATTATAAATTTGGTATTTTTTGGTACTTAGCTATTATAAGGTACTATGAGGTACAGATTTTAGACTAAATTTTTTTTACCTAATGCTACCTCTTCAAGAGCAGTAGAATTGTGACGGAGGAGTATCTTTGATTGATCGGTTATATCTTTGATTTATTGAACTTAATTACCTGCGCTGCGTAGGACAGCAGCGTGTAGGGCAGTTTGGCCGGCCGGTCCAGAATACGAGACCTCGTCGCCGCCTTGCTGGTGCAGGGCCTCCGCGATGCGGTCATGCCGCAAGGACACCGCAAGGTACAACGGCGACATCCCGCCGCCCGGCGCCGGAACACGGGCGAGCCGCGGGTGCACCGACATCAGGTGGCGGACGAGCTGCTCGTCGCCCAGCCTGACGGCGTCGTGGAGTGCTGTCTCCTGACGAGCGTTCCTCTTCTCCAGCACCTCGGCTACCCTTGAGCCGCCCGTGCCGCCGGCGAGCTCCTCCTCCTCCTGCCTGGCCATGTCGAGGAGGCACCCTACCATCGCCGCGTTGCCCGCCCTGGCGGCGCGGTGCAGCGGCGTGTCGCCGCCGCCGCCGCTCGCGCTGGGGCGGTCCAGGAGGCGCGCGGCGTGACGGTAGATCGCGCGCGCGCAGCGCAGGAACCCTTCGCCGTCGCCGGAGGCCGCCACCACGTGCAGCGCGGAGTCCCCCTGCGGCGTCGTCGCCGCCGCGTCCAGGAGGTGGGGCACCGGCGCCGCCTCAGGCGCTTGTTGCCCGGGGGCCGCGGCGGCGCCATGATGATGCACGACGACGACGTCGATGGCGACTTGGTTTGGCGCGGCGGCGGCGGCGGCGCCCAGAAGTAGAGCCTCGAGCCCCGCGAAGTCGCCGCGGCGTGCGGCTCTGAGCAGCCTGGGATCCATCGATCGACGTCACGCGCTGAAGTATGTACCACTCCGGAAATTGAAGACAGGTTTACTTAGGAGTAGCTGACTATACTCTGGATCAGATCGTCGATGAGAAAAGATTTGCAGGTCAATCCCAATGGTCGAGAGCATCCATCTTACCCAGATACGAAAAAACTGTGTTTAACCGTAATTAATTATAGGTTTTCACCTCAGTTTACTTCTTTTTTCTATTCTATGGCACGTACCACACACTTAGACCCCACGAATACGTGTCCTAGCACATACTTTAAGAGACCGAAACCAGCTGTATATCATGTATCGATCACACTAAATTGCCATTAAAAACCCACCCATAGTGTGTAATATTATGGATATTAAGATTTGAAATTATGCACCCATGATTTCACTACTATATTACTTGTGTTTCTTTATAAGTGTATTTATTTTTATGGGTAAGAAGATGACGATGGTGGCGGGCAACTTCATAATGGGTAAGATGAAGAAGAGGACTACAGGACATTGCATTCAGCCGGTACTGTCTAAACCCGTTGGTACATGCAATTATCTTGAGTTACATATGTATATTGTCAGATATATTTTCTTATGGGGAATGTCAAACCGAGACACTACGCATTAATTAGCCGAGCCTCTCCGCCCCCGTCTACGACGCACTCAATGTTAGGAATTTTTTTCCGAGTAAAATGTTCAGAGGTATCCATGCATGGAGTGTTTAAACTACTCCGTTTAGAGATTTTTTTAAAAAAAAACTTTTTGAATTTTTTATTTTAAAATAAACCCTTCCCAAACTTATTTTTAGAATCTAAACTTTTTATCACGCCAGCCGGACTGACATGGCAAAACAACACTGACACGCCACTCTGGCTAGCGTGGCAGCGTTATTTGGTCACGCCGGTCTAGCTGGCGTAGCAGGATAAAGATGTCACATTTGCAATGTGTGGTGTGTCAATATTGTTTTGTCACGTCAGACGGGTTGGTATGCAAAAGGTTCATATTCTGAAAATAAGTTTTGGTTGGGATTTTTTTAAAAAGATAAAAAAAACACAAGTACAAAAAATAAAAGAAAATTCCAATTTAGGACATGCCTACAATTTAGACCCCACTTTAATACCCTTTATGAACCAAGTGAGAGGGTCCTTTGCAGTATTGCTTACTGACATGTGGCCCTCACATATCCTCAGGCCCACATGTCAACGAGCAGTAATGTGTAGTACTAGAAGATTTGAATTGTTATGAACCCTTGCAGACGCTATTCCTGTCCGTTTTGTAGTTTGTCACTAGCTGAATGCCTGAATTGATCTATTTTGTTGACTTCTTTTAAAAAAAATCACAACTATTTAGATGATATGTAAATAACAAGGGAATGTTCCTCAAGACTTTATAATCAGTTGGGCCAAAGGGCAGCGAAAAGGAAGTGAGCAGTAACCTTCCACCATTTATCAGGAATTTCAGAATTGCAAATTCGAGGGGTATTGATTTAAATCTTGATGACTCTGATTTTTCAGCTGAGGTTTTGAACGGATGGGACAGTAGGTTGATATCTTTAATGGCACGAAGATCCATAAGCCAAACGTTTGGAAATTCAAATCTTACTACTTAAAAAAAATTGATAACTTTTCATTAGTCTTACATAATTTTCGTCTATTTCGAGGAAAGGGTAGAGGAGATTGAGGGGAACCCATTTTTCCATCCAATTTGGAAAAAGAGAGCAAAGGGTAGGTGTAGGGATGAAAACGGATCGGAAACGGACGGAAACTAGTTTTATCATATTTGTTTTCATATTTTTTTTCAGAATCGGAATCGGAATCGAAAACTCGAATACGGAAATGAAATCGAATATTATCGAATACAGATACGGAGCGAATACGAGACAGAACGAATACGGTGGCGAATATTTACTGGTATATAAAAAGCCCCTCAAATTGAGTTTCTTGATCAAGGAAGAGATATCATTCAACATCTCCAACATTTATATCATCAATTTTGTAGACGGTCTCACAACCGTATGCGAAAATCGATTTTCATGGTTGTTCCTCTAAGAGATCCATATGCAAATATGATTATCATTTTCAATTCTCAAGAACTTTTACTTGATGTATAACTTACTTGCCATTGTATAAATTGGAGATGTTATTTATTTTACTTTACATCTTCGAAACTTGCAATATTTGTTTTATGCTTTAAATGCTTTCAAATACAAATGTTATAAACTACAAAGTGGTAGATCCCGTTGAGCTCTACAACTTTGATATAGAACACATCTCCATCAGATGTTGTTTGAATTGTAGATCTGAGATTTTGTAAAAATTAATATGATATATTATAATGAATATTTAGACCCTTAAATGATCTCAAATAATAAAATAGTCAATAAGAAAGTTGTAGATCTCATCGAGATCTACAATGTTGATATAAAGTTTGTCTTCATCTGATTCCGTATGAAAAAGTTATGTATATATACGTGTTTTTTCTAAAATTTTATCAATGTCTGAGGATATCCGAAAAAAATTCCGGATAGTTTCTGACCGTTTTCCGATTCCGACGGATAGTACCCTTACTGTATTCGTTTTCGTTTCCGAGAAAATAATCCAAATTCGTTTCCGAATCCGAAAATTTCTGGATAGTTCCGACCGAAATTATTCGAATCCAAAAAATGGTCCAGACGGACGGAATCTATCCGAACAGTTTCATCCCTCGGTAGGTGGGATTGGAAGGAGAGGCAGCGCGGGCTTCGCATGGGCACGGGGGTTCGGTCTGGAGGTGTAGGAAGAAGACTGTGGCACATGGGCCCTGGGCGACAGAGAGAGGAGAGACCGAGGAACGCTATCTAGACTTTTTTTTTCACCAAACGCTATCTAGACTTGCTCTGCTGCTGCTGGGCCGAAGGGGAAAGGAAGAAAGCAAACAGGCCGATAAAAGGAGGAGACAGATTAGACTTCACCGGAGAGGAGGTAAAGCCTGCTAGAGAGAGAGAGAGACGGAAAGCAGACTTTACTCGAATTGGTCCAAGACGAGACGATTTTAACTACTTTTTCATTTAAATTAATCACTGAAATGAACTTTGAATTTTCAAAAACACTTTCAATGTTCTAATAATTTCAAGAAAAATCATGAAAATAGTTGGATACTCAACGTATTTAAAAAAATATTTATCTAGATCATTTAATGATTAATAATTGCTTAAATAATTATTGAAAATGTTCTTTGTATTGTTAAAATTAATAATTGAAAAATTTCAAAGAGTATAATTAATCATGGAGAATTTATTAATGATTAAACACAACCATGTTTTAATTAGGAAATTATATTTCTCATATTAAACTTCACTTGTAAATTAATGAAACTTAATATAAATTTTGAAATAATTTATTAAATAATTTACAAAATCCCTTAAACTCAAATCAGGATGTGACAAAACACAAATCCTTGAAAAAGAGCACAACAATAAGCGGAATATGAGTTGCATCCAAGACATAACACATGTGAAATCATGAAAAAACATATATCATCTTCAGTGTCACCAATCAGTTGCGCTCTGCTTACTCTACCTTCGAAATGGAAGACGGCTCACGTTTCTCTGCTCCAGACGACCGAATCTGCCAGCGAGATTTTCCTTTTTTTCTTCCCGTTACAACGTACGGACACTTTTTCTAGTTAAAATTAAAGGGTTGTACAGAAAGAATTACTCATCGAAGGACCTCGCTTCCTGCATGAGACACTTGTCCTCACGAATCCCATAGCAACGACTTCTCTCGTGTCTCTTTATCAAATCTCCCATCTTCCTACTGTTATGGGCTCATGGCGACGGCAAGGGCATGAACACCCGCGTTCAGGTCTGAATTCGTAGCATCTCCGGCCATAAGGCGAGGGTGCGGAGGCGTGCCTAGAAGCTGCTTCGAGCTCCTTCCATATTTTGATTAGCTATTGGTAGATACTTCCTTTTTCCTAAAATTTAAGGGATTCTATATTTTTTTCTAAGTTAAACTAAGGATCCAATTCTTTAATTTTGTTGAGAAGAGTATGAACATCTAACATAATCAAGGAAGTAAATCATGAAAATATATATTTCAAATGGATGTAATGATGCTCATTTGATACTGTAAATATTATTATTATTATTTTCCTTTTATTAGAAACACGGTATAAAAGTAGATGCTAACAATACACGTACGCTCGTATCTATGAACACGCACACGCGCATCCTACTTCTATAAGCACCTCCAAAAAACTGGACTGACATATATTTTGAGGTTGACAAAATCACCATGGGCACCTCGTTGGTGATGAGTACGTCGCCTACCACTAAAAAAATAATTAGTCGTAAATATGAGCATCCGTGTTAACTCTAGAACTTAAATTCGGACGAACTGGTTCCGCTATAAGAAACTTGGCTAGTTGCTTAGTTGTCTGACCAAACTTGAGACAACAACTTAGGACATAAATAGAATTAGAATTTTTATACTTTACTACTCCCTCCGTTCCATTATAAGTGCAGCCATAAGTTTTCGTGCCCAACATTTGACTATCCGTCTTATTTGATAATTTTATGAAAAAAATTTAAAAGTTAAGTCATGCATAAAGTCCTATTTATATTTTATCATCTAATAACAATAAAAATACTAATTATAAAAATATTTCAAATAAGATGAATGGTCAAAGTTGGAATTAAAACTTACAACTGTGCTTATTATGGGACGGAGGGAGTAGAACCAAGTGTGTATTCACTATAACAACCACATCCCGTGAATCCCGTGGCAAGGTCAACATCGCTACATGGCCGCATAGTTTGTTTTCTTGCCGCACGGTTTGGATGCACGGCTGCATAAGAAAGGTCAGAGCTGAGCAAATTAAGCTTAGGACGCCAGTGACTTGTGATTACCGGTAAGCGTGCTCTGACCGTTTCCATTTCTTTTCCTTTCACTTTGTTTTTCTTTTCTTATCTTACGGAGCTTATTTAATGGTTGTGGCGTGAAAGAAAGTTTTTACTGTTAGTAATTAATGAGAATTATAGAAGCAGTCCAAAGAGGAGACTTTTATTTTTGTCTCACCCCAGAGCATATTAAGTCATGCCGATCTGAACTATCATATTTTTTTAGACTTTTATTATTAACTAACTGTGACTTGCTTTTTAAACCCTGAATACTTCTACCTAGCTACCACATTTTCAGCCGAGGTATATACGATGATGTGTCCTATACATCTTAAATTATTAACAAAACTGACATGACTGACCAACTCTATTGTGATAAAATTGACCAACTCTATTGTGATAAAATTCAGATTTCCAAATGTATTAGTCATTTGATTATAGAGCAGATTATTACCACAAATTGTGTATTTGATCATAGGGATAAATTAAACATTATGAGAAACAAACTTAATAAATAGTTAAAAATAAGTTATCTAAGCAGTTAATACTGCAGAAGAATGCTTTTAGAGAGCAAATAATCTGTTTTTAATAATCCGACGAATAATCTGAAAAAAAAATAGGGATGCCTTTAGAGATGTGATTATGGTGAATGTGCTTTTGGAAAGAATGATGAACTAACTGTCCTCAAATAATCATGTCAGCTGGATTAATTGGAGTACTTTTAGTGTACTCCATTGTACAATCAAAATATAAATCATCACACATGACATCCCACCTCAGTTTTGTCCAGTACCGAAACCTAAAATGCGTTGCAACAAATTAAAGTATAAAGTACATGCAATGCCAATGCATATGTCGTATAGGAGTGCATGAAACAGATCCAATTGTGAATGCAACTGCTGCACTTTCTTTCTTCCCTCTGATCTATAGATCAAATTTCGTTCACATACACATATAGATCAAATTTAATTTTGCAAGTGAAAGTACACATGGCATAATAAAGTATGTTGAGAAACGCTCAGGGGTCTTCCGGCTAGCTCCACAAGACGTGTTGGGCTAGACGATTTGGGTTCGAAGTCTCACCCCTTGTAATTATTTGATATTAGATCATTCCCTAATATTCGTATCATAATAATGTACTACCTCTGTTTCAGGTTATAAGACTTTCTAGTATTGCCCACATTCATATATATGTTAATGAATCTAGACATATGTACAATCCTAGAAAGTTTTATAATATGAAACGGAGAAAGTACGTTGTCTAAATCTTATTTTAAGTTTTTGTTAATTACTTGAACCACGTAAGAAAACAAGGACACATGCCCTCAAGAGCTTAAAACACTTCCCCTAAGAGAGTAAAAATTATACCATTTCTTCCCTGCAAGGCACCAAAGGGCCGGCCCCATGCATCCATCCATCCTTACAAGTCAATCTATAAGTTATTAGTAGTTGCCAGTTTGCCACTACATCCAAATCAAAGACCTGGCATAGCTAAAAGCCCCAAAGGATGGTTGGTTGGTTGGTTGGTTGGTGAGTTGTCTCCAATCTCCAAACTCCAAGAACAAGAATGCCAAATCAAAAGAGCACAAGTGCTAATTAAGCAAGGTAAGGTAAAGCTAGGTGTATGCATGGAATAGTATGCATACCTAGTTATCCTCTTGCTTCACTCCTCCCCTTCTTTCCTTTGAAAAAATTAATCTTGCCTACTCCTCCAAGAAACCCAACTTTGCTTCCATGCAAATGAACAAATTGCACTAGATCATTATTATATTGTTGTATTTGCACAACATAAAAGTGATGCCCAATTCACCATTTCTTGTTTGATCCTTGGTTCTTGAGATTTGATTTAATTCTTGTGTTGCATGCGTGACGACGATGAGATGCCTAAGGCCTGGTGGTGCTCGCCGGCGATGCCAGCTGCTCGACGGCGACACCGCCGCCTTTTGCGCCTCGCTGGTGGACGGCCTCGCGCAGCTGGAGAGCACGCTGCTTCGTGAGGAGGACGACGGCGATGGCGGCGGCGGCGGCGGTGGGGCGGTGTCGATGAGGTGGTGCGCCGACGCCATGAGGCTGGTGAAGCGGATGCAGCGGGAGCTTCTGGTCATGTTCAAGAAGGCCGACGTGCCGGTGGGCAGCGCCGTCTCCTACGGCGGCGGCGGCGGAGGCGGCGACGGCGGCGGGTGCTGGTTCGAGCACTACATGCAGGAGACGGCGGCGCTGCTCGACTTCTGCAACGCGTTCAAGTCCGCCGTGTCGCGGCTGCACCGCTACTGCATGGTCGTCGACTTCGCCGCGCAGGTCGGCTGCGCCGGCGCCGGCGCCGCCGCGGAGAACGGCGGCGGCGCCGGCGGCTGGTGGCTGGAGGAGGAGCCGGGCGGCGACGACGCGGGCGCCATCCGCCACAGGCTGTCCGACGTGAGGGCGGCGGTGAGCGAGGCGGAGCGGCTAGGGAGGAAGATCATGTCTAGCTCCAGCGGCGGCGGCGGCGCCGGGGACGACGACGCCGGCGGCATGGTGGTCGTCATGCTCGTCGCCAAGATCACCATGGCCGTCGTGTCGATGTTCGTGCTCCAGGCCCTCACCTCACCCATCGTCCCCCTCGCCGCCGACGTCGACGACGGCCACTGCACCCTTGGCCGCGCCGCCGCCGTCCCGGTCCCCGAGCTCCAGCCATGGCGAGAATCCCTCTCCGTGATCACCGACCGGTTCCCGAGGCGGCCGGGCGTCGCCGAGCACGAGAGGGTGGCCATGGTGGTGAAGTCCATGATGATCAACACCAAGATGGAAGGAGAAGAAGAGACCAAAAATGGCAAACAAGAACAAGAAGATGACCATGTTGAGCTTCTAAGAACAAGATCAGGTGAGCTCAGGGAAGGTGTGGAGATGTTTGATTGTGTTTTGGATGAAGTGTTTGATGAGGTGATCAAGGGCAGGAATGAGATGCTTGGCATCTTCAGAGATAAGGCCCTCACACTGGGCTGAATTTTTAGATGTTAGCTAATCTCTGAAAAGTTAATTGACCTTGAGCAATCTGGAAACCAGCAGGGTATGTATGTAACCTGGGGTGGATGCTAATTTGACTGATCAATTTGAGTTGTTTTGTTGAGGGTTTAGAGCTTCTTGCAATGTGTGAGTATGTGTTTATGAAGGTGTTTAATTATATTTGGTTTCCTTTTATACTTTAATTTCTCCTTTGGTTTGTAACTTGTTTCAGTGTGACATACTGATCAATAAAGCATCTGAAGTTTAGATTTGTTTTATATCTGCTAAAAGAGATGAAACACCAGATGCAATTTCACATCTACATTGCAGTTGATGCAGGAGTAAACTATGTTCAGTTAAGAGGTGAATTGAAGTTCAGAGCACAAAACACAATCAGATGGTCACTTCTTCATTGTTGAAGGAATGCTCAATTGCAGCAAGCTGTAGTACATGGAACAAAAAACAAACAGATGATCACTTATTCATTCTCAGTTCTGATCTAGCAAAAGCACAAGGGAAGCCTGGAGATTCCACAAATTCAGACAAAAAAAAATTGCTAGTTTGCTATCACAGAGAAATTACAGAAGGTTTTGTTTCCTGTTGTAGTATTACATTTCAACAAGACCATTGAGGATTACATCGGAATCATGTCTTCACTTGGTAGTTCTTTTAACAACCATATGATAATACACAGTGCTAAACTAGTTCTGGGAGTTCATGCCCCACTTGTCCCAGATCACCCCAAAAGAATGAACAAAACTTTACCGAGAGCAGAAGAATTTACGAAAATCAAACGGCCATAGTTCCCTAATCCGCCTTTGTCAAGTGCAAAATAGAAAGGCGGCAGGAACTGGTCTGCAGGATCATAGAGTAAAGGAGTAGAATCGCTTGCGACCTTTAGGCTTAAATTCCTCAGCAGGGGCATAAATCTTGACACTGAATAGTCCTGTGCCATCCTGTGCTATATCAAAGGTAAAATCCTAAAATATCCTTGCACCACCCATTCCGAAAGAATCTCTGTCATCTTGTTAGTTGTGGACTGCTGCGTCTCTCTTCTGATCGATGATGGAATAACTTTGCTATTGACCGCCTCTCACAATCCTGAACGAGAATAGCATGTAAATTAGATTTAGTATGGTTGCGGTCAAACTAGCTAGCTAGATGGTCAACTGTACCCACCTTAAACATATTAAGGCGAAATGGCTTCTCCGGGTTCATTCTTCTAAGCTTCAAATATGTATATGCAAAGCTGAGCTGGTCACGAGGTGTGAATCGATCAACCTCATTGAACCATAGGCATGAAAATAAGTTGGACATTGGTGTGTGTTCCCTCACGATGAAAGAACCTTCAGGGACATCTGTACAAAGTTAACCAAAAAAAAAAAGAAGAAGAAAAACTTAGATCAAAATAGCTCATACACTAGCAATAAACTAGCAGGCAAGAATGCATACAGCTTGGTAGCAGCTTGTTGGGATCCGATGGGTTGAACTTTGTCAGTCCATCTGCTTGGTAAAACTCAAACTGCTGATCAATTATTGTATGGTTGAACTTGTTCAGCCTTTTGTTCTGTGCCACTTCCTCCCAAACACAGTGTCGATCATAATGATTGGAAATAGCATATTCATAGCCATGCCGCCAAAGAAAATACTCTAGGATAAGGATAGGATCATTTTGTAATCGCAATTTGCTGTCTAACCAGATTGAGAACCTGACACAAGTAGTAATGTCTTTAGGCATGCAAAAACAGGTTGGTAAAACAAGCACAATAAATTGAAGGAGCAAGTATAAGCAATACTTGTTCAAATGAGCACATTCACCTAACATCAAGATGTCATGTTTTCACATTCATGCACACTTTTAGGACAGACAGCATAATATATTGGGAGTTGCTGTGTGTTTCTCTACATATAATGTGGCACAGCAAATGATTATATGAAAACACCCTAAATATTGAAATAAGGAGGACTTCTCAATTTGTTTTTCTTAACTTGAAAAGGGCAATAAATACATGTGGGAATTAAGGTCATTTGTGCTAGTGATTCTAATGCAGTTGGAAAGAACGAATCAGAAAAAAACATAAACAGTACTACTGAATCATATGCCTCCACGTGAGCTCAACCTATCTGAGACCAGCAAAGCATCAACACAGATACAGCTGAATTGAAGGAATCAGGATTGATTGCTACTAGTAGCGAGGCAGTCAGGAATGTGCATACTGATAGGGACAGGGCAGAATGTGAAAACAGATTTCCACCTGGTGGCACCGGTTTATGACTGGAAACTACTGGTATTTTCTGGCAGTTAGTGTTGGCCAATATTTTTGATAAAAAAAATAGTAACCAGCTGGTAAACTGCTTGGATTTCCCAAGGTGATTTATCTTGGGGGAGGGGAGTTACTAGCTCAGTTCAGCTGAGGATTAAGAATGATATTGGCCCATAAACATGACAGTGTGGATTCAATGTGGAAAAAAAAAAGTACAACCACCATATATAAGAACATTCATTTTTACCTTGATGATGGGAAAAGACGATGTGCCAGAAATTTCGGTATTTTGCCGACTCTCCGCATGTCATTATAAGGCATATTCTTAATCAATATGATCTTCCATATACCGATGAAACCTGAACTATCCATTTTTTGGCCTTCAGATTCCAAAGTTCGTAATGTGATTTCATCCAAAAACATAGCAAAGCATACTGTCTTCTTTGATAGACTTGTAATCTGCGTAGACAGATATCATATGAAGTTATTTCTTAAATATTACCAGATTTCCATCAACTTCTGAAGCATTTAAAAAGATTCAGGGAGCATTGGAACAACAGAATGGAAAGGTCAGCAATTGTTTAACCTAAGTATGGAGATTGAGGTTATATATTCATGTATATCCAAACTAACATTGCAGAAGGTTCAGTTGCATTTCACAGGCCTATTATATAAGGTTTATGTTTCATTGCCTACTAACAGAGCCAATAAGTACCTATGGTAAAAATGAAGCTACTGAGATTATAAGGTTCTAAGACAAATCATGCAAAGAACGCTAATTTTGCGATTGCCAAAATATACAAGAGAACCAAAATAAATACATTGACAAGAGTTACATTGGTTGTAACTCATGCAGGATTAGGGGTATCATAATTTTTTCAGGAGTTTGTTGGTACAGAAAAAGAACATACTGTTTTCCCAAAAGGAGTCTTCAGACGATCAGAATTTCCAAAGATGCAGGAAGATACTGCAATGTGGCATTTGCTCATGTACTTTCTGTTTTCCTCTGAGATATCAAAACCAGTGCTTGTACCATTGGGACCCTTAACAAAAGCACAATTTAATTGTTGGTCATGAGCTAAGTATGATTCCTCTCTTTCTTGTAAACTCTGGTGGCCAGCAAATCTTGGCTCCCAATACTCTGATCCAAGAGGTTTGTCTTCAACTTCCACATATTCCAAATTAAAACTAGCAAATTTCTCATTTTTAGCAGGCTCTACGAGTTGAGCAGTGGAGTTCAGAAACCTCATTTCACAAGTTGAACCTGATTTATGTTTATCCAACAGATTAGAAAACCATCCATAATAACAAAGGCTAGATACCAAGAGTATTTTATGTGATACCAAATTATCAAACGTAGAAATCAATAGATCATATTGATAAACATTGTAAATCAAGCACTACATAAATACAACATGATGCTGCTGTGCTACTAACATCTCAATCTTCATTTTAAAGGATACTAATGTTGTGGAACTAACAGATTAGTTGGCACTCTAAAATGTCCAAGACTAACTGATTTATGTCTATCGAACATGAATAGCACATAGTTAGTACCTTCTTACAACCAGATTCCATAATTGGTGTTTCTGATATCATAGAAGCAAGCTAGAATTACCTCTAAACACTACAGAAGGCTATTGAAACAGAAATAAAATGCAGAAAGCTTAGTTATTCTCAGTAGCAGGATCAATATGTCCACTAAGCTAAACAAGAAATCAGGTTTCTGAATTCAAATCGCCTGACTCTAGCACTTAAATTTGGGGAAGAACAAACTCACCAGTCTTCTTGCGCTTTGATTTCTTTTTTGACGCGTGTTTCTTATCACCAGTCGCCGAAACCTTCTTTTGGTTCACATTAGCAGCATCAATAACATCGACACCATCACTAATACCCGCACCTGTTTCCGTGCGTCTCTCTAAGGCGATGCTTTCCTTATTGCCGGTGCTATCATGAGCTATATTTTCCTTACTCTCGGTGCTCTCATGACTACTGTCGCCAAGCTTCCTCCCGCCATCAGATGAATGCGACTGAGCATCATCAAGATCGTCCTGTGCATCAATGCCATCGTCATACTCATCATCCGGATCAACCTCCCTGATCCCAGTACCCGCAGCTCCCATCGCAGCCGCCTCATACTGCTCGAGCTCTTTCCTGCCCCCTTCATTGTACAAGGTCCCTCCTTTCCCACCTTCAGCTACCTCAGCAGCCTCCTTATCGGCGGCACCGCCGGTATCCATGGTCAACCCTTTCTCCTCAACAGCAGGATCAGAGGTCACAACCTTATCACTGACACCGGCATTATTTCCACTTGCACCCGAGATCTTCTCCTTCTCGTCCTCCGAGTAGTCCTCGTCCCGCCTCCGATCGTCCCGGTCCCAGTACCTCGAATCCTGCGCGCTCCGGCCTCCACCGCCATGGCCGAACTTGAGCTCCTTGCTCCGGTTCCACTCCGGTAACCCCTCCCCGCCGCCGCCCAAATCTTGGCTGATCTCTGCGAAAAATGCACACGAGATCACGTTGAGACACGAAATCGGATCGAGAACTCTCTATGCGCACCGAGCCCCCGAACACATCAAACTTTTTTTCTCTCTTCTTCTTGAAAAGGAAAAAAAAAAGAAAAAGAGAAAGAAAGAAAAGGATCACACCACCACGGTGGGGGGAAGCTGCGGCGTCAAAGCCATCTCGAACCTGCGGGTTGGCGGGAGAGGCGGCGCGAGAGGAGGAACACGCCGGCGAGGAGGAGCGCGGACGCGACGGCGGCGGCCGCGGCCGGCGAGCGGCGGCGCGCGGGCTTCCCGGGGCGGCGGATCCGGGACGGCTTGGAGGCGTGCGGGAGGGGCCGGTGGTACTCCGGGAGCGCGTGGTGGTGGCCGCCGCGGTAGTCGAAGAAGCCGCCCGACTGCCTGTACTGCGCCATTAGAGGGGGAGGAGGAGCTCGCGGTGGCCGCGCCGGTGGTGCTCGACCACCATGGACATGGACGGGAGGGTGGGCGAGAAGGTGAGAAATGGAGGGGCTTTTCTGTAATTTGGCGCGGATGGGTTGGTTAATTGCACGTGATGATGAATGGGGTTAGGATACCAAAGACTATTGAGGGCTTTGATCTCTTCTCTCTCATGGAGGTTGGTGAGATCAAGATTGATGCAATGATCTAAGATCAGACTTTAGACATGGGGTGTAGGAATATATATATATTTGTGTTTATCTTATATAGGTGAAATAAGAAAAATTTAATGAAGTCGGATTATGTTATGGCGAGAGGTATGGATATTGGTAGTGATCAATAGTGATGGTTGTTTTAGTAGCTTAGAGTTGTTGCCGTTAGCAGCCATTTTCAATGGTTACAGCCGACAGTCACTGCTGCTGCAGCCAGGAAAAGTGAAACAACACCATTGTAATTTCAAGCATAGTAAATTGGTTCTTATATATATGTCATTGCTTACATATACATTTTTTCTTATGTAGGAGTAAAAGTTAAGCCTATTTTTTTAGTTTAATGAAATTAAAAACACGATAAGGTATTATGCCAGTACCCCATTCGCTGAAAGGAATCTCAACCCACTTTTTTATATAAGTGCATCATCCATCCCTAGTTTCTAACTCTACGCCGACAATACCCTATTCAAGCGAAACATGTTATTTTGAATAACTAGAAAAAAATCTTGTATAAGGGTGTTTTATAGGCCCTATGAAGATAAAATCTACATATATAATGACATAACAATTCAATTTAGCAACAAATCTAGTTTGGTAGTGAAAGTGCATCTAGACCCCTAATAATTTTGATGATTGATTACAATGCGATTAGAGAGGACTAACACTTTTATTCAAGCAAATGTGAAGGTTGTTATGTCCTCGACATGTTGTAATGAGATGCATACCCCATGAATGCGACATCAAGATGCAATGCGGCAATGATCAAATGTTATATTGTATCTTTTACCTTGCATTGTGTCGTAGGAATGCCGTACTATTAAGAGGGATACCACATGCATATAATTGGTAGAACACTAGTGCTCAAAATGCTTCATCTTTGTGTGAGTTGAAAAACCTAAGCCAAAATTTCAATCCCGAGTTGTTTCACTCGTCACAACACTTACACCGGGTTTTTTTGCAAGTTTTTCAAAATCTCTTGAAGGTTTTGGACCATGTTTTATGTTGGGTTTGATAGCCCACGAAACTAGCTTTCCATAGAGTCCAAGATCTTCGAAATCGGAGTTCGGAGTAAAAAGTTATTGCATTTTTACTTGAGCAACATCAGACTATCCGATTTGAAATCAGACTATCCGATGTATCGGACTATCCAATTTTTCACAGAACTGTCTTGATTTGAAAAAATCCTATCGAATGAGTTTTTCTAAGTATCGGAGTATCCGATGTCGGATCAGATAGTCCGATGATACAAAGACTCCGAAATTTCATAGAACTTAAGTCTCTGTTTGAGGACGAAGTTTTTACTTCTAAAATATTAGATACTCCAATTTAACATTAGATAGTCCAATGTCTCGGAAAGTCCAAAATTTCATGGAACTTCATTCTCTGTTTCTCGTTGCCTTGGAGGTTTAAAATATCAGACTATCCGATCTTGTATCGGACTATCCGACGTGGGCTGAAAGATTCCCCTCCAACGGCCACATTTTGGGGCATCTATAAATACCCCCCACCTAACCCTTTTCTAGGGTGACCCAACTCATTTCATTCTCATTCACTTTGGGTTGAGCTTAGTGCTAAGGTGCTTTGGATCTTTGAGCTCTTCCTCCCTCTCTCAAATCCCTCCTTGTTCTTTGTGTGGTGGATCTTGGTGGTTGTGGATTTGGTGTTTGAGGGCCTAGTGTGTGTTTCACTCGATCTTGAGCACTAGGGTTTGACCAAGAGTTGTGTGGTGTTTGTTACTCTTGGAGGTTGAGAACTCCTAGACGGCTAGGTGTCACTCCCAAGGCACCGATCTACGTGTGGTTGGCCGGGAGAAGTTTGTGAAGGCCGGATCTCGCCTCCGCAAAGGAAAGAGATACCCCTTAGTGGAAGGAGTGGTTAGTGCAACCTCTTGAGGAAAGGGTTAGCAAAGACCCGGCTCTTAGTGAGCTCCTCAACGGAGAGTAGAATCCCCTCAAGGATTTGAACTCCGGGAACAACTTCGTGAACTTCATCATTGGTGATCTCCCTTCATCCTCCTTTTAGCTTTGCTTAATTGTGCCGCTATAGATCTAGTCGCTATTTGTGCTTTACTCTTGTTTGTGTGATAGATCTACTTGTTGTGCTTCATTGGTGGATCAGACAGTCTGATCCAACATCAGACTATCTGATATTTTCGGATAGTCTGACTGTGGATCAGACTTTCCGACCTTATATCAGTTTTAGCTTCCGCATAAAGTTTTAAATTAGCCTCTAGGCCGAATTGACCCTTTCAGGTAGATGCATATGCGCACGAGTGAATTTAACATGTTGTGCGGCAAGCAAATAATATGGCTCCGATGTGGCTGGGTGAAATAATATCATGATATCTATAAGGACCCAAGGCTTGGCACTAGATGGTACCTAAGTGAGGACAAAAGGATATATATACACAATATGTTTTTTAAAAAATAAATCTAAGTAGAATCATAGTCACGTAAGGATGGACCATGTAGCATATATGGAGGAAGAGATGTGGCAATGTTGTAGCTAACTAGTACTCCACTCAATAGCGGTCTTCTTTGCCAGCAAAGAGATAGGTGTGAACCCCCTTACTCATGTGCTGAGTAGGATATGAGCAGGAGGAAAGTACGTGAATGTCATGACGGGAGGGGCAAGGGACATTGAGCATCAAGTGCCAACATGTTGAGTAGGAGGAGCAGAGATCATGATGGGAGCAAGCAGCGAGAAAGCAAGTGACATGGAGGTTGGTAGGAGAGAAAATGATGAGGAAAGGGGGAGATTTGGGGTTTGTGGCTATGATAGAAGTCAGGAGTGAGATGACAAAGGTGAGCAATTTTGTTGATATATAGGCTAGGATGAGAAATGTGGGTAATTTCAACAATGTATAAAGTGGAGTTCACCATCATCATTATGTCCTTTTAAAGTAGTAAAGATGTTTCGTGTCTATAGTCATCAAATTTTATTAGTGCCTATTACACATTAAACTCGTCACACCACCTCACACACTTCCATACCCAAGGTGACCTCACGTAGCATTCCGCTGTAGGAATAATGTGTGCACTTGTAAACTTTGATAATGAATTAGGGGTGAAAACAGATCGGAATAGCGGTTATACCATATCACCAAAATTTAAAGCAAACTCAAAGCAGGCGGTGCTGCGGGGAGTAGAAGATGGGGACGACCAGAGGAGGCGTCAACGTTGAGAGCCACAGGCAATGACGCGTCGTACCCGCATTCCTGCTTCGCCGCTTGTGTGCGCATGGGAGTGTGACGGCAAACCTGCCTAGCAGCTTGCATTGGTTCGTCCTGTGTGTGAGAGAGATAGGTTATTAGGTCAACTAATAGATGGTCTGTCTTATGTGAAATGGGTCAAATAGAGTGGTTCCATGAGATGAGAAAGTCGGGTTATCTACCAAACCCTCCACCAGATCTGCAGGATATCGCCAACACCACGTCTAGCTCCGTATCCATAGCCAAATTCGTATCCGCCGAATATCTATAAACCCTTACTATATCCTCACTTCGGACGGATTTGGAGTGGAGTGGATTAGATATTATCCGATTCACTTTCACCCCTATAACGAAGCAACTTTTCTGGTAATTGAAATCTAGGGGCTAGATATGCAACCTTATTTTTATTTACCATAACCTTTATTATGAACAAACAAACCAACAAAAAATTATCCAAAATGTTGCCAAACACACCTATATAAGGGCATGAGTGTAGCAACAAGCTAGCCAACAAATGCTAAATAATGACCTTATACCCATGTAAATTGTGGTTTTTGTTTGTTGCCTTTGGTGTTACCAGTGAAAGACGGTGATGAGTTGTGTGGACTATGGGAAAAATCAAAGTGAGGCTGGGAAAACATGGGAGCAACACCGCCGTCATTTCGCAACAGAAGTCAATATAGATTGTGGCGGTGTTGTATGGTGAATATTTGTACTAAAAATAAGACCATCGGCAATATAGATTAATGTATATTGGCAATACAATACCTCTGCTTTTTTAATATAGGGTGTGTTTGAATTTTATTTTATCAAACTTTGATCAACACAATTACTTAGCTAGTGAAAAGAGTGCAACTTGAGCTATAACCAAAGCTACTTTAAACATACTTAATATATTTGTCTATTTATATAAATATTTTTAGAAAATGAATAATCAAACATATTTCAAAGACTAGAAAAAATGTCTGTGCGTTGCAACGAGTGAAGGCTATTTTAATCTTATTATTGTTCAATGTAAAATTTATTGTGAGAATTCGCTTGGATATATATTTTCTAGAAAATTATGACAAGTTAGCATGCGAGTTTTTTTAAAGAGATTTCTTATATGAGCCTTTCTGTATTTTCAAAAACGAATAAAGTTAAAACTCAACTCAAATACGGATCTGTATTTCTAAAAGCGAACGAATTTAAAAACCGACTCATACACGAATAACGTACCAAATAACCGGCAAAAACATCTTCATTTTTTATAATAGTAAAGATTTAGTTCATGTTTTGAGAAAACGAAGGTAGTACATTTTATTAATCTACATTCAGGAACGAATGAATCTAAACCCCGAATCATGGCTGATTCGCAGGACGAAAGACCATGGTGCATGGCTTATGGTTCACCCCTGCCTATATTGCCAAACGTGATTATGATGGGTGATGGCATTAAAGCTACTGTCTCTATTTTAAAATATATGGGATTTTACTCATGTAGTTATACACGAATAAAATCGTTTAAATTTTAGGACTTTCACCAGGTTGCTGCCTGTTTGACACGTACGGCTACCCAGAGCCTGGAAAAACCCGGTCGTCCGGGCAGTGAGTTAGTTTCGACGTAATGGGCCTAGAGTGAAAGCAAAATGGACGATCCACACAGGCCTAGGGCCATTAGCAAATACAACGCCAATTATTCGT